ATGGACTTTCTCCACCAGAAAAATTATGAAATTTTTCTTGTTCATCTTTGAATCTTAATAAATCTCATGTTTTGATTATCAAATTCATGTTCGTAAGAAAATAAAAACAACAAATATTCAGACAACTTTCTTTTTGACTAACAGGTCTTACCTTGGGGAGAAACCTTTAACTCTAGATATTAGTTGATTCTTATGCACAAGTTACTGGTATTCTGTCAAAATTAAAAATAAAACAAATTTCAGAGATTTGTGGTTGTGCATTTGTTTTTACAACAAAATAACAAGTTTCAAAGAAGAAAAACATCACTGTGTTATATGAACAGATGTAGATTCTTGTCATGACCACCGCTACTAGCAAGAAATATCTTATCTTTAATTTCCAAATCTATAAGCTTAGCAGTACATCTGCACCAGTGTACAATCCTTACAAAGATAAATTATTCACCAGAAACACACACAATAAAATTCCAATGAAAATCTCTTTTAGCTGAATAAGCTCCCAACACACAATGATAAAACAGGTTTTTAAAATAACAAACTGAAGATTTGTTTATACTAAAATAAATGAACGAACTTTGGACATTACTTTTGTACTAATCAGAACATTAGGTTTTATCATGGAATTGAAACAAATGTGATTCAACTCAAGTGTTTACTTTTTAAAATTGTATCAATTTTAGGCCTACATTTATACTTTATGTTAAGAGATTTCTTTGACACATTTGTTGACTGTGCTGAGATTTCAGTATGCTTAAACATATGGACTTTAAGAGAGGTGGTCAAAGTGGTCAGATTTTTAAATTTCAATTATAGGAAACTTTAATATTGAGAAGTAAAACTGTGGCGCTAAAACTTAAGAGACATTTCACTTGGGTACCATAAAAATATTGATAAGCAATTTTTAAAAATAGCAACATATAGGCATGGGCTAAGGTTAAGATAAATATTAGGCTACCAAAAATCTATTTTGTAGCCACTTCACAGTGCTCAAAGATTACCGAGTAAAAAAGCACTACTTTTTAATGACCAATCTGGAGCAAAGTGATCTCTCCAAATCAAATAAAGTGTGCTGATAAAGGGTCCAGGTTTAGAATCATATTTCAGAAGCTGTTCCATGTATACCTAAAGACTCTGTAATTTTTAATAGTATTACGTACAGCTTTATAATATATTATAATATTACAAGTAAAACTATAAATGTAATAACATTTAATACTACAAATTTTTACCACTTCAATATTTATTTTCCGTCAAATTACTTTCAAAGCTAAATATTTTTTCTAAATCTTTTGTTAGTTTGAGGAATGCATTTTTTAAAATTATTGCAAGCTTCCATTTATCTTTTTCCTTATAATTTTTCCAATACCCTTACTAGTTCGTTCCTCTCTGTAATTCAAGGGAGGTAGCTGGAATAATGATTTAATAACATATTCAATAAAGTTGCCACCATGCATTGAACTACCGGTATTATAACTTTGACCTAGAATTAACAAAAAAATATAATTACTACATAAATTTGGGAATTATTACATTTAGGTTCAGGCAAACTTTGGTAGATGAAAATGTATCGCCAAATTAAGCTGTGTAGGAAATTTCAGGTCTCTGGGATAATTGATTTCATAAATACTGGTACGGGTACACTTAAAAATGGAAGAAAGGGGCAAATGTTGTCTGCATATGGATCCATGGGGGAAGATTCAACAAAATTTTGAGACAACAAACCCAATTTATAAATACGACTTAGTAGGGGGACAATGTTACTAACTTTTTAGGACTCTAGAGTTTGGTTTCTTTAACTTCAAGGTAATTTTATGTGGATGCCTCAAATTGTTCACAGTAATAAAAGGCCATGAAGTACTGGGGGAAGAGGGTTCTGGTAATGTTTCGTTGCTGCATCCATGTACTGGCATCTTTGCAACGGTTGGGGTTATGATTTTGCTATTCTAACAGCTCCTAGCTGATGCCAGGGCAGCCTTGAAGCTTTCGAACGATATCGAGTTCACAGTGGCATCGTTCAGGTGGTTCCATGCTATTATTGTGCGAGGGGAAAAAAGATTGTTGATACTGCACAGTGTTGCACTGAGACACTTTGAAGCATTTGCTATTGTTTCTGGTGTAATTGTTTATGGGAATGTCAGTGGTGAAGTCAGAGCGGTGGGGGTGTTTGTGATTAAAAAATACATTCACTCCTAATCATTGGGGTGATTTCACTGGATCCACAAACCTGTTACTGTTGTATTTAAATATTTTTTAAGAGTATTATCCTGGCAATGACCATGGAACATGTAAACTGTTGCCAGTGTTGACTATCTATGGTGTGGACCATCTGAAAACCCCCATAACATGGAATATATTCCTATTTGTAGACTTCTACCTTACTCCCTTGTTATTCCTTATTTTGAAGAATCAATAGTTATAGCATATTATATTATATGAGATCTTGACTTTGTGCCATAATGGATGACTATGTCCACTAAGAAAAAAAAAAAAATACTAGTTAAAGTAATTGTTTTTTTTTTTATTAGTTGGACTGTTTTTTTAGTAAT